GATAAAATTGATTTCATTGATCAGCTTCGGACATATGTGGCCCGAGTGGCTCTCTGGTACGTATAAAGTGTTATAAAGATCTGGTATTTTTTTCCTTGTTCCATAGGCTGTACTATGAAATGATTCAATACCTTAAACTGGTTGTACAGTTATCAAATCAAGCGGAAGAGCTAATAAATTATTTTCCTTCTGTACACTGCATTTTGACTCTGGAGGATCAACACTTTAAGCTTTTTGCTTCTTCCCTCTCCTTTTCAAATATGTAAAATTGATTGCTTTATGCCTAATGTTTGCTTCAAATATGAGAGCATGTGTATGCGTCTTATTTAAATTTTGTTGTATATTTTGGTATTGACTAATATTCTGTGCTTAATGTCGATTTTCTGTACATATTCGAAATAAATACTTCAATCAATCAATCAATCAAACACTCAACCACACAGTAAACTATAACTGGTAAAATATCACCATCTACTGGACGTTTTATGGTATGTTCCTCAAATGCTCATTTATCAAGCAAAGAGGCCTTCATGTTTAATGCACTGCTTTAATATTTTGCAATTAATTTTATTTTATAATCGATTACATCATAAGTTGTTTTTTAAGTCAAATACTTAAATGGTACATTGAAACTAAGACCTGTTTGCCAGACCCAAAATGAAACAATATGCCATTAATTATAGAAATCTATAGCAAAAAAAGATGAGTTTTGTGTTTGGATATAAAACTTCAACAGAATCTGACTGATCTCCATACAGAGGTTATTTAGGCCTGCTGACTTCTTTTTTACTTTGGGGACAGACAGTGCGAGCAGTGGCGGTTCTAGCCTAAATGTTGCCTGGGCAACACCCCCCTATGGCGCCCCCCATTCGGCCCATATCAGGATCCAGTAGCGGATCCTGATATGGGCTGTTACACACTGTCCATCACAATAACTACGTCAGGTAACAAACTGCGTCGGACCCGGGGCGGTTTGGTCAGGAAAATGCGCCCGAGCCACGCTCAAGTGTGCTCACCTTTAAGTGCGTGCACGTGTCTGTGTGTTTGTGTGTATGTGTGCCTGCCAGGCACACATGCACACATCTGCCTGGCCTAAAAACAAAACATTACAATATCCAGGTTGTACTGGATTATTATAATGTTTTGTCTCCAGGCAGCTTAGGACCTAAAGCAGAATGGGATGTATTGTAGGTATATGAATGGAAACGGGGTGGAGGGACCTGACTGCCACCTGGAAAATACGCCCATGTTCAAAGAAGAACTCACAAAAATGGTGCTATTTTCCATACATGCCCTAAATAAGGCAAACCCATCTCCATCATGGTTTTCTGGTTTTGTAAAACAGTGTCAATCTATAACAAATTATACACTTATTCTACATAAGCCATTCTAAAAAACTATAATTTACCAATAAAAAACTATCAAGTTAAACTAACAATTTCCTACTTTCTTTTGTAGATTGTCTTATACAGATATGTAATGATAATTTCTGTGTAATATGTGTGTTAATGTGTCCAATATCAAGTATCTGCAAGTGGATGTAACGTAAAAGCGGCAGTAAGACACACTGTTGCTAAAATATATATTCACCTAAAACTGTGTTTGTGTGTGTGCTTCATATAACTTACTGGCGGAATAGGGGCCCCTCATAATAGCGTGCACTGGGGCCCATTGTAACTACCTTATGCCACTGATGGAAACACACTGACAACCTGCAAGAAAACATAATATTTCTGCTGGCGCACTGGTGTAAGTGGAGCAGTGTGGATGAATGAAAAATGAAAACAATAAACAGTTTTCGGTTGGTAACGCGAATTGTAATCTGTAATAGTAATGTCACCTGAAAGCTTGTCGGTAACGAGTTATATTATTTCAGTAGGCTAATGCTAAAACATATATTACTGTAACCACCCACACTGTTTGTACACATTTGTCACTTTAAATACCATGTTACCTGACTTTCTGGTCTTACACTGTGACTCTTTTCTCCTAAAATTACTAATTAATCTTGTAATATTTTGACTTTATTCTTGTAGATTTATTAATTTATTCTTGTAGATTTACAACTTTAGTCTTAAAAATCTAAGATTTTTTTGCATTTTCTTTAACATGGCTCTAATCCTCCTTCAAGAATCTGGGTGAAACAAAGACAAGAGTAAGAATATTTGCATCTCCCTCAGATTAAAAAAAAAAACAAAAAATGTGGTTTTAGTTTTGTTAGTTAGGTTGAAAAAATAAAAAATAAAAATCAATGGTGCTATGACAAATCTACCAATTTTCATTTCACTACCTTGTCTGTGTATAGAACAGCACTTCAGTTTAACTATCCACACCAGCCCTCTTAACATCCCTGACTTTTAAAAGCATTTAGATAAGATATACTTTAATATATATTAATTAATCAAAGACACTGACAAAGAAAGCACACAAAATTTGGTCAGTACTTGTCCAATTCAAGTGTAGAACACTCTAATTCCCAAATGTACATTGGAGGAGCTTAGTATGTCAAATGTCCAGTAGATGGTAATATTTCACCAGTTTTACTTTACTGTTTGGTTGAGGCTGACTGTGTCATAATACAGCATACAGAAGAATAAAAAAGTACAAGGGGAGAGACACACACATTTTTTTGTTTCAATTTTTTTTAAACCAGATTTTGTCTAAATGTAAAATTTTCATAAGTAGTGATACTGAATATTGAACCATGATGTTATAGATTTCCTGCATTTTAAACTTTTGAACTTTAAGTTATTCTGGTGAAACAAGGCCGCTCCATCACAGCCTTTAGGATGACATTTCACTCATGTGTTCTTAATCTATACATGTACCTGTTTATCATATTATCATAGGTGAAGCCCTGAGAAGTGTAAGTATTTAAGTCAGCATGTCTGACAGAATTTGTGACACCACATAGACACTGAAATTACAACAAAGCTCTGTTTTATTGATAAATGTAGAGTTCATGACATCACAGTTTACAAATGATAACAAAATGAGAAACAGAGCTCTTATAGAGAGTAGAGACTTATGTTGGGGTTTTTTTGTTTGTTTTTTACAAATTCCAAGCACAAATGTCAGACAAACATGATATGAAAATTACATCAATTCTTGATTAAATGCTTCACAACTCTATAATCAACGGGGTATTGAATCATTTCACAGTGTCACTTATTTAGATTTAGCAAAGGGATTCCATGACCACCCTTTATTGGTGTGATCTGATGTTTCTTTGAACTCTTTGAACATCCTGCTCACTGTCTTCATCAGCTCTTCCACTTGAGGCGAACGTGAGTTACTGTTCTCAAAAAGAACACACCTTCTGCCACACTTCTCAATTATTTTCTTGAGATCAGGCTGGCAGCTTTCCAAAAATTCCTCAAAGGTCATTTTTGCACGCTTCAGATCTTCTCCACGAGTAAACAGGATGACTGTTTGTTCTTGAACTTTTTTGCCAAAAGCTTTTTCTAACTTTTTCAGTATGTCTCTCTCACCATCTGTAAATCTGCTGACATGCATCACAAGTAAGTAAACACAAGGCTCCTCCTTACAGAGCTCTTTGCACTCTCTCACATGTTTGTCCTTAACTGATGATTCAATGTCATCATCAAAGATGTCTGGAGTATCAATGACACGAAAATGTCTACTGCCTATCCTAGTTTCTGCCTCTTGGCACTTTGTGGTGACTTGATTTGAACTGGTTCTTGATGTGAACGCTTTCTTGCCCAGGATTGTGTTCCCACTTGCACTCTTTCCGGTACCAGCCATTCCCAGCAGAACAAGGTTCACTTTGGTGCCAGAGTGGTTTCCTGTATTGATGTAGTACAAAAAGAACCTCAGAGAACTTTACAATTTCCTGCTTTCATAATTTCAAGCAGCTGCTGTTATTTTTTTTTTAAAGAGGCATGATTGCTCGCACAGGTCAATAAGAGTTTCTGCAAGTTGCTATAAAACCTTTTGGTTCTATTTAAAGTACCCTTCACTAAAAACTACAATTGACTGATAGTAAAATGCTGCAAGAGATCGTGGCTTACCCTTCATTTCCATCAGGGGGTGTGGTGTGGACATATGTGACTCAGACATATCTGAATCAAGATGGTCAGCATGCCTATAATGTAGAGAAAGAGTACATCTCTGATGTAATAGTATACAACAGTCCCCCTGAAGACTACATTATATAAATATTACATACACCAGTGCACACCTTCTTTACCTCTTGTCAGTTGGCAACAGGTATCTTCCTTCTGTCAGTTTACTCAGTTTGTTGAAAACCTCCCCCAGTGTGCAGCATTTGAATGGATACTTATCTGGGTGTTTATTTTTGAGGGGCAGCACCACTCTGAGCTCCTCTGTGGGTCTTCCAGTTATATGGTGCAGCATTTCTATCTGTTGCTGTACCTCCTCTGTTGAAAACCCATCCTCTACCACCATCAAAGACATGTGAGGGTGGTGATTAATAGCAAATAGCTCTCTTATGTCCACACATGATGTGTCCATGCCTGGTGTACATGTGACCACATATTTATCATTTTCATATATCTTAGTATTTTTCAAAACATGTCTTTGGGATAGTTGAGATAAATCTTTCCCTAGGATGATGGTTACGAGGGCTTTTTTCAAAGAGTCTTCACGTCCCAGAACAACAACTGAAATCTTACCTGTGAAAACAAGTGAAACGTCTTTTTAACTTGATACATGCAACAATTTTTTTTTCTATTTTGATAAATTTTCACAATAATACAAAAGAGGTTCAGTTTACTTAATTGTGTCTTACTAAAGCATAGCAGAGAGAGCAAAACAAACATGCATAATAGAAAATTATTACTGCAAAACTTACTGTGGGACATGGTTCATGGATCCAGCGCAGCAAAGTACAGACAGGCTGTGTGGTGTCTGTAGACTGTGCTGCTGTCTTCCTGTTTTATATGGACCTGTTATGCAAATACTGTGAGGCGTGTCAGCTGTGTAGCCACCATATAAATGAACAACGGCCTTAAAGCCTTAATATTCATCTTTGTCATCTTTGTTGAGACAACGCTGCTGAGAGAAAATGGGTTCAGCTGCTTCTGGTGAGACTCAAAAAAACAGTTTTTGTTTGTATCTACTCCATGTATGACTAATCATGTTTAAAATCTATGACAATGAGCTCATATTTACTGAACTATTTGTACATTAAGTCAGTGAGGTTTTTGGACAGCTTAAACAGAAGTCATGAATTGTTTTGCAGGTCCTGATTTGAGAATCGTGATGATTGGAAAAACTGGTGTGGGCAAGAGTGCTGTTGGAAACACCATTCTTGGAGAAAAACATTTTGATTCCCGTCCCAGTTCAGAGTCAGTGACCGAGACCTGTAAGAAAGGTGTGACACTCTATGGTAAGAGAGAAGTTACTGTAGTAGACACACCGGGAATCCTGGATACCAAGAAAACCAAGGACTTCATCAAAAATGAAATTGTGAAATGTGTTGAAGTCTCATGTCCTGGACCTCATGTGTTCCTGCTGGTCATCCAAGTTGGTCGATTCACCACGGAAGAGAAGAACTCTGTAGAAGCCCTGCAAAAGCTGTTTGGTCCAAAAGCTAATCAGTACATGATCGTGCTGTTCACCAGAGGTGATGATCTTGGAGACATGAGCATACAACAGTATGTAACTGAAGGCAAGCCAGAGCTTCGACGAGTCATCCAAAGCTGTGGACAAAGGTTCCATGTCTTTAACAACACCAGGAAAGACAGAAGACAAGTGGAAGAGCTGATCAAAAAAATTGATGACATGTATGCTGCAAATGGGGCAACATTCTACACAGATGCCATGTACAAAGAAGTGCAGACAAAACAAAAGTCCAAGGGAAGCACAAGTGCTAACGAATATAACTTTATTACTTCACTGATAGATCGTATCATGCATTTCCTCATAATTCTTGCAAGAGAGTAAATGACCAAGATCAGTAGCCAAAACACATCATCACCATCCAGACAAAACAACACAGCTTCTGTGCCAAGTGTGAAAATATGTCATATATTAAAACCCTTTAACACACACACAGTTACAGTATAGATCAAGGTGTTATTTTTAATTGCTCTCAGCAATAAATAAAAAGGAGTTTTAAACATAAACAATTTAAACAAAATACAGACTGTGAAGTAGTAGTACAATTTCTTGTCTTGTCTGTTCTTGATTTTTATAATATGTATAATGATGGTGGATTGGTATGTCAAAACTTCATTGAATACTGTTTGTTTATAACTTGTTGAAAAATGACTTGATTGATGTTTTATTCTATAAATAAAGGTGGAAATAAATGCTAAAAGATCAAACTAAAAATCAGATTGTCATTTTTTCAAGATACTGTCATGAATTAAGATATACATTATTACTTTTACTGCTGTTGATATTATATAAGTTACAGATATCATCCATTTAGCATTGTCTTAAATATACCGTCAGCTTTTACAGTAAATGGTGGCAGACATTTTGACTTATCATAGCAGGAAAAGCACAGGTGAAAAGAATTTTCCCAGTGGAGATTTGGTTGACCCAGTGTCCCAGTGAGCAGTGATAGTGAGCCAGCAAGCACAATACCAGGACCCTGGAAATAGCTCACCTAAATGGGATGTAGCTGCTAATGTCAGAGGTAGTAACAGTGTTGAATGTCTGTGTCTGTGTAAAAGGGACAGTTGGTAGGACGGGACCATGGACGGAACAAGTATGATGTTCTGGGCAGCAGCAAGATTAAATTGTTCAGACATTGTTGAACAAACAGGCAGCTACTTGCAATGGACCATTCTGCAGCGTTCTACAAACCTGCCAGTTCACACTAATGCAACTAGATGAGACAGTGTGACTCTCTCTACTTACATTCTGATTTCCAGCTTTTCAGACTTATTTTGTTGCTAAATATAATTTGTAACTTCTTAAAATATGGGGGGTGGGGGGATTGGCACATACAGTGAGTAGCAGCAGGGACCCAACATCCGACACCGAAACATGTGAGGACAGAAAAGAGGGCTCAGCGGTGATGGACCACTTGCCGCAGCCAGCGAACAGGCCGTCCGTGGTCATTTTGACTTAACCAGCAGACTTTACTTCAAACCGATTGGCTGTGGAAAAGATGACGAGTTACATTCTAAAACCGGCTGCTGTCAATTTGACTAACTGAGTTGCAGGTGACACCATCAGCCGCCTTGAGTCGAGCTCAGACTGGCCAATTCACACTGCTGCAACTTTTCTCTGCAATGAATCTTTGGTTTGAACTGGGCTGTAAAAGCAGTTTGTAGTAGTTAGCAGCTAACTAAGAAAAGATCTGTGACCGAAAATGTCCACAAATTGGTCAAATAATGAGGTCCAGGAGCTCCTTACCTTCCAAGCAGAGGATGAGACTAGCCGACGAGGATGAAACCAGGCACAGTAAATTATTGTTATTGCCATGTTATGGCATTGCTATTGTTTATAGAGCGCTGCAGACGCCCTTGTAATACGTTACACTAGAGGCCAACTAGCTGTTGTGTTACACATCATGCCTGTCCTGCCTCTTTTGGTACCTGAGCACTGGTAAAGAAAAAATAATGGCAGCATAAAGAAGGGACTTCACAGTGGCCCTGTCCCGTCCCGTCATCCATAACGCTTCTAAACAACTCTAGACATTGCCCTAATTCGCATTCTTAATCTACATTTCATCTTTCTTCTAACCCTGAGGTATCTCTTTGTATCATTGATTCCCTGATTTTAGGTTTTATAGATTATTTTATTGCTGGTTATTATTGTGTTCTCTATTCAATCTATCCCCTAATTGTGTTTTATTCTTTTTTATCCAGTCTTTTATTCATTTATTTGTATTACTTATACCATGTGCAATTCCTGATACTGTGCAATATGGGACACTGTGCAATACATAACTACCTTGTGTACACTTACCTTCGCTGCCTATAACTGGTCACTGTGTTCTGTATATGTTAGTGTCTTGTATGTATTGTTGCAGCTGTATCTGGCACTTTTAGCCCAAAACAAATTTCCTTTGGGACAGAAAAGTATATCTTATCTTATCTTATCTTATCTTATCTTATCTTATCTTATCTTATCTGTCGAGCGATCATTGTGTTAAAAGGTGATGTAATAAAAACTCAAACTCTTTGTCAATCTTCATGTTAATGAGTAATATAAAAACACAATGAGCCACAATTTTACTTGAATATAAGTTTATTACAGAACACATGAGATCTGAGAAGCTTTTGGCACAGCACGTACATACCAAGATATACCAAAAACTTACAATAATAGAGCAATGATCAGCCCTTATACAGTACCAGTGTTGGGTCTAAAATATTACATTTTAGCAGTAACATAGTAATACCAACATAATTTCGGGTAGTACTATTATATTTACAATGTCATGTAACACGTTCCCACCTGAAATAAACTATTCATGTTTTTCATTTATCATTCACTTACACTGATCCACACTGCTCCCATTCTGCCAGTGTACCACAAGTAAAAATATCCCCCAAAGGCTGTTGTATGTTGTCATGTCATTATACCCTGCATTATAGGCCTATAAGGGTTTCGGTGATCCTCTGAGATAGTTGTGGGAGATTAAACACCAATTGAGAGATGTGTTATTTTTACATCTAACAGTTTTTTCTGTAAAATGTCAATCAAAGACACATTAATAAAGTTAATCTTAAATTAATTACGAGCGATAAATTTAAAGGCACAAGTATCTATATGCAAATGGATATTTAAGGGCGTTTCTACACCCATTTATGGTGTACTGTTGGTGTGGGTATGAGGCTCATGCTTGTGCGCCCAGCGCCACAATGACAGACATTTATAAAACAGAATCAGTCACGGCTTTTTAAATCTGAAAAGAATGTGTATGCACGTTTCTGTCATTGTACATTTACACAGTTTTAGTCATGAGTCTACACAGAGGTTTATGCATCTGGCCTCAGAGGTTCAAACAATGGATTCCAAGAGGTATTATAACAACATTATGCACACATAATTAAAGTTGGAAATGTTATGAGTTCCCAGGAGCTGAAACAAAACTATAAGTTAAACAACCAGGACTTCTTCAGATATTTGCTAATAATAAACTTTTATGAAAGAGAAATAAATCACAATGTGTATTTTGATCAAAATGGAGTTAATCAAATCATAATGGGAATGTAGAATTCAATGAAATATAAAATTACAACAACAACAATCAACATCTATATGAGAGAAATGGAAATACACTATGAAAAGCTGAAATGGGAAAAAGTACTAGGTGTTAAGATTACAAATGATAAATGGTTGCATATTTGGTGAACACAACAGTCTAAATCCTCATGTACTTGAAAAGAGCCCTATATCAGAATATAATTATATTTATTACTAGACCCCAAATTAAGCACAAATACTTTTCTATAGCACAAATATGTTGGAGAAGATGTGGGGCAGTAAATGTACATCCCCATGTATTTTGGCTTTTTTCTGAAATTATATGGTTTTGGGAAAATGTTTATATGGATATCACAAAGGTGGGCTGTGATATACCCAGCTCACATATAGTATTGTACTTTGGTAATACGACAGGAGGAAATGTGTTAAGAGAAGACAGATTATCTACTTAAAATCTTGTTGCCAACGTGTGAAAAGGCCATCACGAAGAGATGGTACAAAGCAGAACCACCAACACAAAATGAAGGGCTAAAAATGGTGATTAAAATATATGATATGGAACTGGTAACTGAGAGGATAAGAACTCAAGAGGAGAGATGTCGAGAGAAATCGGAGAAACAGACAATGTTTGTATGTCAGCGACAAGATAAGAAACTGAACCACTGAATATGTCACAGGAAGGAACAGATTGTGTCAGTGTCTGAAAATTAGCACCCGACAAGCACCAAATTTGGGTAGATTTTCTGTTTGGTGAATAAATCTCCAAAGGCTCCCTGCCACACTGGTGGGTAAATGTTAGTACCAAAATAGTCATGTAAAAACTATGATGAGGGTCTCTACCGCATTTTGGTGTCATTAACTGTTTTTGGCTGTTTGTCAGAAACGAGATTGACACTTACAGCAACAGGGACACAAACTCTGATATCTACATTGCTTTGTCTGGCAAAGCATGTTGGTGCCAACCGTGGCACTTTTAAGTGCATCTTGTGAACTCAGTAACCTATATTTGAATGGCCTTGACGGTTGTTTAAAAGGTTTCTATAAAGGAGTTTCTATTTTTTTTCCTTGTTTTCCTTTGTTGAAATACATCTGTCATTACTTTCTTGTTCTTTCACTACATCATTTTTAATACTTAGATTCTAAAATCCTAATTTTATCACATTTATTTATACATAGGCAGACTTTAAAATTAGTCAAAAACTAAATTCTGTTAAGATCAAATCAAGTTGTTATCAGCAAACCCTGTAATATTCTTGTTCAACATGTCACCAAGTACGTCTATTATCATTTTCATGTTGTTTTACTACAGCATTTTTAAATGATAAAATACTAAACTCATATCCAATATCCATTATTTGGCAAGTAAAATATGCATGTTCCAAATGAACTAAACTATCACTTGCCACCTGTCTGCTGCTCGCTACCATTATTTTGTCTGGTAGAAAATATGCCTGGTAAGTGGATTTTTCCATCTAGCAGTCCCCTTTCTGACATTGGGTTGTGTGAAACAGGCCCATCCAGAGCTTTTCTTTTTTTTCTCTTTTGTATGCATGCAATGTTTATGAAAAAGCAATAAAATATTAAGTATAAAAAATTGACACACCTATTAGAGGAGAAAGTCACAGAATTATTATGTTCGGCTGTGGCTCAGAGGTAGAGTGGGTTGTCCACCACTCGGAAGATCAGCGGTTCGATCCCTGGCATACTCCGGCATGCCGAAGTATCCTTGAGCAAGATGTTGAACCCCAAATTGCTCCCGATGGCTGTTCCATTGGTGTGTGAGTGACTTAAAATTAAAAAAAAAACAAACAAACTGAGTAACAGGTGGCACCTTGTAGTGACTCGTAGTGTAAAAAGCGCTTTGAGTGGTTGGATGACTAGAAAAGCGCTATACAAATGCAGGTCCATTTACCATTACATATTCAGATCAGTTCTATAAATGTGTCTGAACCATTTTTGCTCTCAGTATCTATTTTTGTAATGGTACTTACTGATTTTTAACAGGTAACGTGTACACAAAGCTAACACCAACAAAATATGCAGAAAACTGAGCTATTTAAGAATTGACATTCAACATCCAACAAACTGTTAAAGATAAAGGTCAGGTCTTTATACCATCAATAAACAGGCTACCACCCAGACTCAAGAGTTTTTGACACCAGAGA